GCCACGCCGCTGGCTCCCAAGCTTTGCTTCGGGATCCCCATGTGCTTGCCGAGGTGAGATGACTTCCAGCTAAATGTTCTTACGAGCTTGTACGCGGAATCCGCATGTGCACGCCCGCGCGAGACGACTTTACACAAGGTGAGACGACTTAACCCGACCACCCAGTATGAGTCTGTTAGGGTGACCGCGGATTGCCTGGTGATATTTGATCTTCCTCGTGCTGGCTAGCAAAGGTCTGGCAGCTGGGGTTCGGACCAAGGGCTGTTGAATCACTTCAACTAAGCCTAGGCCTTGTCGCTGCCGCAGAAGCTGGGCCTGCTGGCCCGTTGCATTTGCAGTTTCCTGTCCCATACTGCTTTTTGCTACTGTCCCCACATCTTTTCCCAGCACTGCGCGGCTTGTGTCCATCTGTGCTTTTCCTGCGCTCTCCTGGAAGACGCCGCGCTCTGCTTCCTGTTGCTTTGTTTGAATTTGCTACCCCTTCGATCCCGTCAGTACAAACTGAGCAAGGTTTGGAAACCCAACGGCTGAGCGAACCTGACCGCCTCCTTGCAAAAAATGCTGGACATAACATCGATGCATGTGGGGCCCTGGCAGTCCCAATGCAGAGAAAGCTCATCATGCAACATGCGACCTGAGAAGTGAATCGCGAACGTACATGGCATAATGTGAGATGATGCGAGCGTGTCGCCCAAGTCCAGTCTTCTGCCCTCACACCGCTCCCTGAAGGCTTCTTAGCTGACAAATTATGGCTCCATGCGTCAAGTACTGCAACAAATCCAGCCCACAGATTTGCTGTATCCTAGAGCTGCCCGTAGCCAAACCTCTCTCAAACACAAAGTTGCTGCCAAGGGACAACACATAGCCTGAAGACAAATGCTGGATTTCCAAGTGCTTCGGGAAACACTCGCTGCAAAGACGATTAGATTGGAGTTGCAAGCCGCGCCTTTGGCCATCCAAGCAACAACTATCCTGGCCGGACACCTCAGACTCGGAGCCGCAGCAGCGCTTATATTCGCATGACAGAAAAGGCAATGATTTACAATATGTTGCTAAGCCGTGCCCGGTTCCAGTTGTGCTAGCACCCTTTTGCTTTGTTCTCTGTTCTTGGTGCTTCTTAAGTCTGCGTCTTTGCATGTGTGGTTGCGGCACGCTACGCTTCACGCGGCCCTCTCAGATAGCAAGCACAGGTAGCTGGGCCAGCTAGGCAAGAATGAAGTCTCGATTCCGCTTCTTTCCTGTTTGAAGAAGGTCTCACGTGACTTATGTGGTCAGAAAACCTCAGGATGAGCTGCAGCTACAGGCACGAGTTCCCAGACGCTGCAAGCTGAGGTCGGAACTGCATGATAGCCTCAGCACAGTGCAGAGCAGAAAGCAAAGCACCCCATGATACCTGTTCCAAGGCCCACGCCCTGCATGGGCAGACCCGCCAACGGTTGCAAAGCAGACTGGCCCCAGGCTATGGAGATGGAGATTGCAAGAAGAATGAATGTTCTATGTAGATGGCTGGGGATTGCCGTGCCGTGACGATTTCTTCCTTGCTTTGGCTTTGGCAGGGTGCAACCTTGCGACATAGCCCATGGCACAAGGTAACTTGTTCATGTGTGAGTATGCGTGCGCATGGTGCTGCTGCAGTACTGGGGCTGCGTTGAGGATAATTAAGTTCATCTGATGAATCTCTGCGGTCCGGCAATGCGAGGCATAGGTGCAATTGCTGCAATTGAGTGGGATGCAGGTCTCCTGGACACGCTTCTTCCCTTAATGCAGATCAGGCAATACCTCCGCTCGCTTTTTCTGCAACCGAATCTCACAAGACCTGCTGTCGTACTCTTATGCCATTCAAAGAGCAGGAGTGCTGGGAGAGCAGCAAGCTTTGCACAGCTTTCAGGAAACGGGTTCTGCTGACCGCCTCAACCTCACAACTTCTTTAATTTAAGAAGTAGAGTGCCCAAAAGTCAGTACCATTTCAACAGGCACGTGTTAGCCCCCTTACTTGATGCCAGACTGCGCAAATGGTATGGGGCCGCCACTGGAAGGACTGAAAAACGAGATATTTGCGGGGAATCCGTGCCAGGGTGACCTGAACAGATGTTCACTGCGAAATGCGTGGCGAAGTTGGTCGAGGATGGTCGGCAAACCATGCGCGGTGCGTAGCAAGTGCGTCTCAGCACAAAGGGCAGCTGACCTACCTTACACAGATGGTTGGGTCGGTTCGGCAATGCTGGCCGAAAGCCTGTCGCAAAGCGGGCCGGCTCAAGCAAGCACTGTGCCACTGTGCGAGAGAGCCTGACAAGACGACCTTGCATCTGTGAGAAGGGAACTAAATCACGTCTTCAAATGTCGAAGGACTACGCGGCATTCCCATCCATCATTTTTTCAGGTCGCTCGCCGGTAATCAAAGGAAACTGTTGCCCACATCACTGATTTTGTGCTACTGTGAGTCCTCCCCGTAGATTTGCTCGCGAAAATTACGCTCATGCGAAAGCAAACCTCTTGGCATCTGGTGCACTAGGTTTGACGTGGCAAGCGCCGAGCATGCATCATATGAGGCCTGCGCAGCTTGGACAATGGCATACAAGTACGTAACAAAAGTGTTGGAAGTAAATTCCGGAGTTCGTGCCGAATCAGTTTCAACACCTGTTACCACTTACTACCAGGTTTTTGGAGTTGCCTGCCGAATTGCAATTGATCCAGGTCCCCTGTGCTGACTGCTAGTAACTAGTCACGTCGCCAACGCGCGCATTTGCTCTCGATAGCTGATGCTGTCTCACTTGTTCTGACTTCTGGCGTTCGTTGACGGGAAGTCCGTGGAGAGGACCCATCCCAAAAACAGATTGATATGGTGACCATCGTGATACACCTATGAACATCGTTACGGAAGCCCTGTCTTGCAAACAGCCCCAATGTCCTGGCATACAATTTGTGCTGCGAAGGCTCTATCTTGCAAAGCCGACAACCTGTCGATTAGCATCATCCACTTCGGGCTCAGCTCTTGGCATATTCGGACAAACAGTACCGCTTCAAAAGATGTAGTGCCTAGCTGAACTGTTGCGATCCTGACAAGCAAGACGCTAAGGGGCAAGAAGTGCTCCACTGTACAAACCACGCTACGTACTCCTACGTAGAAGTGGTTCCGAAGAGTGGAAGGTAGTTGAGCCTCATGATGGACATGGAAACCTACACTTTCAAGATGGGAGTGCCTGCGGCGTCACACACATATGCACAGAATTAGGCTGACCTGAAAAATGTGCTTTGGTCAACCCATCAAGTCCTAAGGCGATGCGTTAAACAAGTAGGCAGCCTTCATGGACAGTGGGGAGCATCATTTGTCTCAAGCTTACCCCTGACCTGTATAAGCTAAAATAGCAGGTCCGATCTAAAGGGCTTTGTCGCGATCAGCATGGCCACGATGCGTTCTCAAAGAATGATGTGGAGCAGTTGGAGCCAACGTTGCCACATGCTTGCTCCACACAAGTCCAGACCATGTACACATAGGAGTCGAGCTCCCTCCAAATGAGCTAGGCCAAGGTCAAGGAAGCTCTGCGAAACTGATCCTGGTCAACGTTGTTCCTTGGTCAGCCTTTCTCTTTCCAGAAACTCTGAGAATTTCAAATCCCAATCTTTTAGCAGGGCCCGTTCTCCTCTTGCCCTTTGTTAGTTACAGCACGCCTCCCCACCAAGGTAAATGCTGGGGTAGCGCTTGCCTCAGATGCGGAGTAGGTCAGAGGATTCTGGACTAAAAGACTCACCTCTAAGGAGAAAGATGGACAACATAATGAACTCTCCTCTTGGCGAGTTAAAACTCCTCTTCGGATGATTTTTCAAAGGAAGATTTCACCTCCGCAGCACAGTTGCGGTTGAGGCTTGAAAGTCCTCAGAGTTTCAGGCCTGAAAGCCAGAGCCACCGAAGAGTCGAAGTAACCCTTGTTAACCCGCTCCGCTCGCTCCGCTTCTTCGAAGTGTGGCCTGTTCTCCAGGAAGAATCCTTTTCAACTTTACAGAATCTGACCAGCCTGGGACCTCACCCGTTTGAACCTACAAGGCTTCAGAATCTAAAGCCGAAAGGGGTGCAGACCTCAGTCCTGAACATTCCTAAAATCGTATAATCAGGGCCACCCAGAACAGATTTAAGCCCCTTCCACTTTAAAGCTCGGCCTATGCAAGATTCAAGATTCAATATTTTGCGCTCACAGGTTTTCTCATATCGATGATCCTGCGGCCTCGCACAACAAAGCAACCGAAGGCGATGAAGACCTCGAGCTATCTGACTGTCCGCGCGCTGGAGTTCACTGAAGTTACTCTGAAGTTGCTAAACTTGGCCATGCAAAAAGCTTCGTTGCCCCTGCTTGTACGAATTCTCATGCAGCCACCTACCAGCAAACTAAGGGTAAATCTGCACGTCCGCCAGGCATCTAGTATCATCTTTTGTTGCTAGAGAGGCAACGGATGCCTCCAAATTTCGACAGAATTGGCACTCATACTCTGCAGATTTAGCGGCAAGCCATTTGCACAAACAAGACAGAACATTTGGGGATGGACTACAGCTACACTTTCCGCCAGTCAGGCTCTCCACCAGCTGCTTCATCCAAAAACTAGGATCGATAATGATGCCCCTGGTGCCCCGAGCCCCTTTGACGCACGAGAGTAACGATAATGGAAAGGGAGCAGCCAAATCACAAAATGTTTTGCTCTCCTTGCAATCTGCAACCAGAAGATCAGCGAGCCAGCCATGCACTCGGGCTCGCTGAAAAGGTGCGAGATCTTGAAAGTCACGGAATCGCAACAGTGATGTCACAAGGTGCTAGATTTGCCCGCGATTTTCAGCTTAGCCAACTCGACCATTGCGACCAATCACGATCAACAGACATGAGTGACATCACCACTTCCAGGAATGCTGGCGTTGCCTTCTTTCTTACTTGTCAGGAATGCAGAAGATATCCAAAGCTCATGCCTTGCGCTTCTTATGTTCTGCTTTCTTGCCCGTGACGTACCAAGTCACAAGTCCACACTACAAAGCTCGCTGGTCTGTTAGGAGCAGAACATAGAAGCTGGTGGAATGATGGGACTTGTGCCCTATGTACAAGACACGTTGTCAATTGCGCATCGAGAAAGGCACCATGAATAGACGAGCGTCCAGCAAGCGAAATGGAGCTCAGAGACGTTGCTCGTCTTAATCCCAACAAGGCTCTACATTGCCTTAGATCTAAGAGCATTTAATGGTCCGCGACCTGCGAGACCAATCGCCCCCTTTTGCCAGCTATTCAGCGATTCTGTTGCTGTATGGAACGCCTCACACACGCTGAAGTCTGCTTCCCTACGCAGCAGTGCACGATCCATGCGCAACGAGACAGCGTGTACTTTTGAGGTGAGCATTCGCGGGGAGTCTCGCAAGGTTTTGCTGCAATTGGTGCAGATGTACAAGGTACTTCCTGAAAGTGTGCCAATTTGAGCAACAAGGATACGCAAGGTCACAAGCTACTGCAAATTGCATCCCGGAGATCGTGCATCCAAGGGTATGCAAGGCAAACCGCGAACAAGCTCAGCTCGCCCTGATCCAGCGGCTGATTGACAGAAGCAACAAAATCCGATGGTCAAACGGTAACATTCGGGAATGCGTCATGTCAGAAGCTGGTTGCTGACCCAGACAGGCTCTCAGCTAGCCTGCAAGCGCAACACGTGCCATGCAGCAGTCTGAGGCGCTACCATTTCTCTTGCGTATTGATCTTTGTGCCGCGTGTTGCTGCGCATGAGCAGCTCCTAATGCGCGGTCTGCGGCTGCGTGGGTCGTGCGAGCCGGGCGCCTTCTATCATCGATGGGCCCGGAGTCTTTCCAGGAGACCTGATAGGCGGTGAGAGCTGTTGAATCCGTTCAGACAAAGGGCAGCCAAAACCTTCCGCGGGATTCGTTGAATGTAATCCGCTAGAAACCTATGCATTTTATGTTGTGCCAACAGACACACCGTTGTGATCTGCACAAGTAATCCAGCAGCCCGACCCCTTACACCACCTCACATTCCATTCATCATGTCCGAACTTGATATGACAAGGTGGGCCAAGTTGCTTCGGAAAGACGTGCAAGGAGACACCTTGGTCGAACAACGCTGATCAGACATTGATGGTTCTTACATGTCTCCCTTGCACCTACTACTCCAAGGACGCAAGCTGAAATGCACCAGACATAGGCCCGGGCCAGTGCTTGAAGACCGTGGCGTAAATTGCAGCGTCCTTGTGTCACAGAATTCTGAGTCAAGGATACTAGCCTACTGGCATCTAAAGCACGTCAAGGCAAGCTTCATGCAATTCAGTCGATGGCGCACACCCTTATCTACGTCTCTTCTCTCCAGTGTCTCTCTACTGACTGAGTCTGGGGTGTTTGCGTGGCTCTGGTTCTGCGAACGCGTCCGCTTGGCCTGCCTCCTGCTCTTCCTCGGGTTCCAACCTCTGCTAGAAGCGAGACAAGCAGCCCCTGCCTGACAAGTGCGTTGCCGGCTGTCATGATGCGGATACCACACCGAATAGGTCTTTTTCGGCTTGCGCGCTGCTGGATGCAATGAGCAGGTCGTAGATGTTTAAAGACAGTCACGGAGTGAGTCTTGTCAAGCCATGTTGACGGCAGATTCAACTCAAAGGGATGACGCGCCTGCACAGATATTTGCACATGCGTGTGTCTGCAGATCCAGCATGTCGGAAAAAAATGCCAAGCAAGGAGGCTTGCACGAGTACGAGGCCAAACAAGATTGTGGCGCGGTAGTCGCAATGATAGGCTTACGCAGGATATGGCAGGCAGAGTAGGGCGAGTAACGTACAGAAACAGAGCACAGCAAGAAGCCTTCTCGATGTTGGTGCCCTGTGCACCTGTCCAAATAGCCACTAGTTAACTAGCTTGAACAGGCAGTGGCAATGTCTGGAAGAGTCTTGCGGTGAAGCCATGAATGGTTGCATGAAATGCGTGCAGATCGTGCAGACCCGTTTTGACTCGCCGGCATTGGCTGCATTGCCTGGTATCAGCCGTCTAGGCCGCTTCCGGCCGCTTCAGCTCTGACAATACCGCATCACAAACGCTCGTCAGTCTCAGTCGCAGGAGGTAGGTGGAAAGTGTCCGCGAGGAAGGGCTGGCAAGTGATATTGGGTATTTCCGTCGCATGTCTCTCCACACTTTAATCCTGGTACCGGTTACAGGTATGTGTTCATATCTGCTGCATCTACCTGCTGCCTCGTGGTGGGTCCGGGCGCAAGTGGACATGGGTGTCTGCATGGCCAAAAGTTCCTCCAGAGTCTGTGGAGGCTCACCTCAGGCTGCGCAGGGCTCCCTGTCGTTCCGCGCACGTCGATAGCACCGGAAATGCTTCAGTGTCGTGCCAAGTGGCGAGTAAAACTTAGCCAACCACGCCGGCGGCTTACAGAAAGCACAGAGTGCAGCATGAAGCCCAACACCTGGGCCGGGCAGGGTTCAACCATGGTAATCAAACAGCACAATCTTTATCTTCGTGTATGTTGCTATATGGGAGTATGGCTTTTAGTGTTACAATACCAATGAATAGAGGGGTGGCAGTACTATATTGTTGAAGCCGAGCCAAAAAAATCCGGGTCAATCAAAATTGCTTTCTAACAAGTTCGGAGCCCGAAAAGGTCTAAACAAGGTCCATCTGCGACAATATGGGGGGGTGGCAATAATAGCAATATAGTCTGGCCGGAAACGTCCCGACTTTAATAGATTCCCGTCTGCTTGTCCTACTAGTATTACGAGCTGCACTACCTGGTCCTACCCCAACCCCTTTGTTTATTGTTGCGACCACCCCCTTCTGTAAAGCAGAAACGCAAAACAAGTTCTAGGGGTGGGAGGGGGTTATCATTTATTGTCATGTTACCTTTGGGGCGACTTATTTGAAGGACCAGCCTAGAATCCAAGAATCATATTGTATTTCAACATGGTCTGAGACTGTCTGAGATGGATTCCAGCCGGCGATGCTACTTGAAAAGCTTGACAATACAAAGCCCAGGGCTGAGCAATGCTCAGCAGCACACTGGCACAGCCACCAGACAACACACCTGCCGCCAGTTGCCTGGCCGTTGAGTCTCTACTTCCGCTCTCTGTCTCTAGCAGTTGACAAAGCTATTGGCTATGTTGCTGGCTGTGGTTACGGAAGTTTTGCTCGGGGCTGCGGCTCAAAACAGTTAGGGAGGTCTAGATGAGCCGAGGCAGGGCATTCTTTATCTTCTTTCTCTGACTTTTGTCATTTTTCCTGGCTCTCTCTCCTTTTTGTGTCGTCTTTCTTTCTTGATTCTTTCACTGCTTCTTTCCGCCTGTGGTTATTGGTATCTTTCTTTTGCTCTTTCTCACGGTTCTTCCTACTTGCCCTGGACCCCTTGGCAGGCAACAACAAAAACACAGAGAAGCAACAGCACAAGAATACAGACACAAAGAGAAATGTAGAGATGGAGGAATTAGGGGACAAGATATTAGGAAGGAAAAGTCCGGGAGAGATCAAGAGAGGAAGATTAAGAAACAAGCGTGGACAGGGAAAGAATGGTCAGGAAAATCAGATAAGAAGCTACACGGACATGGATGCAATAAGAAACAAGGACAAACAGCTCAAAGGAAAAGAAGCGTTGCTCGCAACAGAGCATACCTCACTATGTTGATGCCCCTCAGTTCCCCGCATGTATTATTCGGGAGGTTCTAATCTATGCTTGCGTTCTCAGCATTTCTACAGGTATGATATGACTAAGACCCGTCCTGCTCCTAATACTTGACCCCAGCATTTCCTCATTTTGTTTGCTGTTGTTGAATCCTCTTTTGATGACTGAAACGGCATGGCTATCATAATCGAATAGCTCATCGAACACTACACCACCACTGATAGCGTCAGAAAATCTAATTATTGTCATTGCTGCTGTTGTCACTCTTGTTACTAATTACTAGTGTTCGCACCCCTAACCCGTACAACCTTCGTGTGGCTCCCGGCCCCGGGTGCCCCCATAAAACTTAGCGATTCAATGTGGAAGATTTCTTCCAGGAGGTTCAAACAAAAAGAAGCAACACAAACCCTCTCAACCAAGCAAAGGCCCTGGAGATCTCAAAATATCTCAAAGATCCGCAAACCATGGACCATGAGAAAGCCTCAGCAGGCGCTGCTACCATGAGAAGCAAATCATAGAAGAAAACAAGCCGTACAACCAACGAAGAGCCTAGCTCTTTTGCAGCGCAAGCCTTTGACAAATGGCAGCGCGAGAAGCAGCAGGCAGAACCTGGACAAGAGTTCGCGCGGGATATCTGCAATGCCCGCAACCCCAATTACAGCATGTTCTGAAGTCCAGTCACACGATAGGCAGGAACAGCATCGCAATGCAGCCGATCATGGAATTCAACCTGATCCGTTTTGGCCAGGCAAAAACAACGTGAGGCTAGTCCGCGGCTCTTGGCATGTCGACGTATCAGCCTAATCCGATCTCCCGGCTTCCAAGCGGATAAGAAATCCTCCCTTCTAATCATGGTGGAGTTGCAAGAGCATACAACAATACACAAACACACGCACTGAACGCCGTCAGAAGAAACTTACGTGATGCTCAGCTTAAATCCACCCCATGGCTCAGACTGGCAGTCTCCCCGGCTCTCTCTGTGCCACCAGAGGCTCCAATGCCGAAACCGTGCTTTCAAGGAGGTAATCGCAAATTCAAGCTAGGAGCACATCAAGCATGAGCATTCACATGCTTCAGCGCCGTGCTTTAGCTCGTTCAGAACTATGCAGGCATTTGCGCCCACAAGCAAGCCCTTTGGAAATGCTTAAGTGAAACCATGCGGCGGGACCCGGAAGGGACGGCGGAGGTTGGGGGAGGCCCGCCGCAGGCGCAGGAATGCCTTGAAAGCGGCGTAGTCACAAACAGCAAGCGAAACAGTACCTTTCGCGAAGGCAAACCCATGAAAAAAGCTGGACATGCCCGAAACATCCAACGGCTGCAGCCAGGTGGCCAGAAATTCAAGCAGCTGCGCTTGGCAGTAGATGCCTTGAGAACCAACTTCCCAACAATTCTGTTGGTTGACTGCGTGATCTTGCATAATGGACATGTGCGATTTGCGTCACGCCCTTAAAACCTCGAAAAGGTCTGCTGGGATGATTTCACGCGTCCCACCCCTTGCTGTTGCTGACGCTGTCCCTCTGGAGATAAAGGTATTCCGCGCCTATGATAAAGGTTTCTAAAGACTAGCTGGCTACATCTGAGCCCATGTAGGCTTTCAATCTAGGCACGGCCAGAAAAAGAAAGTGACCGGGACTCTAAATTCAGATGCTCTGGGACGGTTGTGAACTTAGCACAGACTTGGGCATTCTCCAATCAGCACCATGAAGTTTCTCTGAAGTTTCTCGGGCAACCCATCTTGCCCCCGACAAGAAAGTAATTGCTGGGATATTGGGCTGGTGCATCGCTTTTTCCGGCTACTTTCACTCATTCCTTCGTTTAGTGCTTATACAGAAGGCCACCATTTAGAGCCTTGCTCATGTCCAGCGGACCTCTTGGCACCCAAATTCTGACTTGGATTTTTCCCTCCGCAAGCTGTCTTCTGCCAGATGATCTAAGATCCACGCTCTGCCTCAACAAATTGCGGGCGCACAAGAGGCGATCTTTGGCCAAAGTTCAGCACACTCCTTTGCCACCGGGCCCTGGATGGCTGAGCCTTTCATCTCACCTTTGTCGTTGACGATAACGCCTGCATTGTCCTCAAAGTAGACGTACACGCCTTCACGGCGTCTCCACGCCTCACCGTGCACTACAGCAATTGCAGCTTGGATGCATCAGTTTTTCCCAGTGCAGAATCCTAACAAGGGTCGGTCAGCATCGTACGCTTTTTTGGGCGCCTTCTTCTGACGGATGACCACACCCTTCAAGACCTTCTTGCGCAGCTCCGGCTTGCCCTCCAGCAGAAAAACACAGTGAGCAGCCGTGCAAGCTACTACTACATCTGAACGGCCAAGTAACAATCAAAGGTATCGTTTTTTTTTGGATGGGGGGCGGGCACGGCTATCGTTTTGCCGGGTTTTGGCACACTGCGGTGCGCAAACCCATCATGTTACAGTGTTCTGCCAGATCCCCCGCCCGGATGCCCCACATCTTTGCTCTCGGAGGATCCACCTTACAAGTCGCCCATTTTAGAGCATCATTTTTCTCTGTCGGGCGGCTATAGTTTTGCACTAGCTTTGTTGATGTCTGGATTATCTCTGCCTGATCCTGGCTCCAAAACCGAATGAAGGCGGTCTCTCATGCAGACTTTGCGGGGCCTGGCAATCATCCAATTTCAAGTCTGCTTTTTGTCTCTGATGGAAAAGCTACCGCTGCAAACGTAGAATGCACTTCCTCAATCCCTTGGCGGCAAATCAACAGGGCTTGCTTCGAAAGCACGCGTCTTTCACAGCCACGCCCCAGGGACTGTGACATCAATGTTAATCGGGCGTCCTCAAAACTGGTGAGGCAGGCTCCTGGAAAGGGTGCAGAACGCATGGCCAACAAAGCCAAACATTCTTTACCCTTGAAGGACTTAGTTATGATCACGTTTCATAAGAGATGGCTAGTGCGTTGTCAACGCTACCCGGGTCAGTTCAGTTGCACTGACCCGCATGCTGCGGCGGATGGTGGATGCTGCGAATGTGATCTGCTGCCTGTAGTGCCGAAAGCTCTGAGCATACCTGCCTATCCAGGCTTCGTGTCAGGGCTAGGTCTTGCAGAACTGCAAGTGCAAGCCTGGAAGCCTTGTAGGCTTTCTGAAGGCCATCCGGAGCAGCTTGGCAAATGCTGCACATCACCACATCTGAACTCTGTCCGTTCTCGTTGATACTACGTTTGCCTGCTACCAGCAGTTGGAGTCTGCCTCTCCCTCTTTCACAGGTTTCCCCCCTTTCTTCTCAACTCTCTCATGCCGCTGCGCGTAGTCTCTCGCATCGATTAAAACTTCTACAGTACAGGACGGAAGGATGAGCTCCCAACATCTGAAAACACAGGCCACTCGCAGTTCTAGCGATGCCTTCTTGACGCTGCACAGGACAAGATCACCTGGCGAGCAGTTGGGCAGCTTGTTGAGTCGTCCGCCAATGCCAATTACTGCGATGATGTAGAGATTCTTGGCGCCGCTGTTGTCCGCGCAATTCCTAGCGAACATGGCTGAGACACACTCCGACGCCCGATGTGAACCGCATCACAGCACAAGGCAAACTTCAACCGGCAAAGCACTTCTGTATGCAATGATCTAGGTACAACGTGTACCGAATCTGTCCACGTCCGGGAGTCTAGGTTTCTGGATTAATGCTTCACCGTTTTGTATCGGTTTATGAGTGCCAGGTCGAAATTGCGAAATGGAAAGAATTGCAAGATGGAGGGCTGCAAATCAGGAATCGGTAAGCGCGGAGGCGGGCTAGGAATCACACCGAGTCAGCAAACGGCAGGCAACCGTCCAACAACATGACTACGACATTTGATGTACCCAGTGAAAACCTCAAGCACGAATGCTGATGATATGCCTGCCTTGGATCTTGGACATTTCTCATGTGGCATCAGGATGAATAATCATTTCATCCTCGGACACAATCTGCTCCCCTCTCCTCGCCCTATGCCGGAACACAACACATGTACATACCTGAGCTGAAGACATGCTCGTCTTCGAGGGGTGCACTGTCATTGGTTTGTATCTTGCGGGGTCGCATAGTAGCTTCACAAGCCCATGCAGACAAATTCCGCCTGTACAACTTCACATAAATGTAAAGTGGCTAACGCATCACATACCTGAATCTCAACCTGCAAGCGTGGTTGAAACCTTCCCCAATCCGCATTCAACTCTCGTCCCCATTTCTTGAAAATGAAGGTCTCCTGAAAACCTGTCCATTTTCTTCACTAAAGGTTCATATTCACGAAGAAATGATTCGAACCGTACTGTTGGGTACAGTAGCTTACATTGCTGCAGTGACTACATCAGCTTTGTTCAACGCAACTTGTCATTATGGCAGCATGAACAACCTTAAGTAGTACTTCTGACTGCAGGAGCAGCTGAAATTGCACGATCGAAACCTTGCTGGTTATGCCCATCCAAAATTTTGGCATGCACAAGTCAAGCAAAGCGAGAAATCAAGAAAACCGTGCCCCTTCTGGAACCTTCCGAGGACTGTTCAACTTGCAAGAATGGAAAAATGACGTCAGCACACTGCGCGAACAGCAACTTCCTTCACACCCTACTGTTGCTCTTGCTCCCTCTCGCCGTGTTAATCAATGGCACAAATATTCGGGGTACACGGGGGAACCATGGCACCGATGAATGAAATACATGTCTCGGTCTGAGTTCTTGCTCAGTGAAACGCTGGGGCCCGAACTTGACATCAGCCTTTACAGTAGCTGGCCATTCAAATGGGAGTTCATACGATTGCGGTCAAGAAGAGTGACGTTAACGTGTCATTGGGCCAGTGTTCATCGGATGTAAAGATGAGGCGAATGATGTCATTGCCGGAATTGTCCTTACATACATGTTTGCTCTTTTTCTGGCACCCCAAGCACGAACCAACATAATCTGGCACAGCCTGTCTGTGTGAGTACTAGTTTTGCTGCAAGTCGATGAGACGGTGAATTGGCATGTGCCTGCACCCGAGTTTCTCTGGGTTCCAGTTCTATTAATGACTCACTTCCGTAGAAGGGATCAGTTGAACATGCATTACCTGAGATGAGTGCTCCCTGAATATCAAGGAGTTAGACCAGATAACTGCCGCCACCTAGATCAAATCTCAAGGCGAACACAAGGCGTTTCTCCAAACGTAATCGCTTCTGCATCATGTCATTGCAAGTGAAGCGAATCCAACGTAATATAACATGCTGCTGATCGGATAGGAAAGAAATGAACAGCCGAACTTAACGCATTGCATGTGTCTACCCGATTCCGCCCAAGTGACTGATGAGATTTCAGGCGGAGGGAGTTGAGATCTCAATGTCTGCCTTTGCCGACTTACACCCAGGTATTGGGCAGTCAATCTAGGGCCAAAGAGAGATCTGCTAGGTATATCAAGGGCGCGCAGCAGCGAATTTTGACATGTGCCCACACAAGGCCTTCATGCAGCTGCTCGTTGAATTTGGATCACAGAGCGAGGAGGTAGAAGAAGTGCGAATGCAACACATCAACTCTGCTCCCGTTTTCACACGCGCTGCATGGCATCTTTTTCGAGGTTGTATCTTCACGATTTGTAACTACATTATTATTACATTTTCTGGCTGGAGCTTTTGTTTCCGACTGGGCTCGCAGCCCTCCTCAAAGTACATGCATTCTTTGTGCTCCTTACAGCACCGGGTTGCCAAATTTTCTGAGACAAGCTTCAGCAACGTCGCCACCTGGCAGCCCTGCGCCATTCTCATCTTGCATTGCTTGGCGGCGCGCCCCTTCTTCATCTCTCAGACTGAGGGCTGTTAGCGGTCACCGGGTGCAGACAGCTTGAGCCATCGCGGCGCACAGCAATATCTCCTCATAATTCCGGAATATCCCGGCCGCAACATTTGCGATCTACAGATGCCTCAAAACGCACAACTTCATTAAGGGCTGACGAACTTGTAGGCGAAGTGAAGGCTCCGCAATACAATCAATGGCTGGTGAATGTTGCGCTTGGGTCTTGGGATCATCTTGCAATCATTCATATTCCTGAACTGAATATCGCTTCTTTGCCTCCTGCAGCCTCCTTTGAGGTCCTCAGGAATTCCTGTGCGTCTAAGCGCAACGCACGTTGCCACACCCTGCCTGCCGAACCGGAAACCCAACGACTTCAGAAATATCTAGCTCGACGGAGGGCCACCACTTGGTAAAGTGAAGCTATGAGAAGCTATTGCTACATCACGTCTTGACACACATGCGCATCAAGAGGCAAAGGGCAAAAAGACTACTGACCATATTAGGGTTGACGTTGCTTCTCCACTGTACAGAGAGCTTGATTGCCAAACTGTCACAGCTGTTCCCGGCCTTAACCCCAAATCAATCACGTAAAGACCCGAATTGCAATCAAGTTGCCATTCAGCAAGTCCTGACACACAGGTAGCTTCCCGGGTTTCGTGCAGAGACTATGCTTTTTGCTTGACCAATTCCTGCAGTGGGGGCAAGCGTGCTGTTGCTACGGCAAGGTAGTGCTGAAAGAGTGCTGCATATGCTTTTGTCACTTGGAGTGCGCTCTTTTGGTTACTCTGGCCGCTGGGCCACATGTTCTTTTTCTCTCGCTGCGCGCGCAGCAGCCTTACCCTGCTTGCCTCTAGCCAAAACAGGCCCAGCGAACCAACCGCAAACACCGGCATCGATTCGGGTCGACGATCGCATCGATCGGATCGAACTTGCCAGTTTCCGTGGCTCATTGTATTTCCCACATACCACATCCCCCTCCCAGCTCCACTCCCACCTCCCCCCGCCGCCACCCAGAGGTGGGAAGTGGGGGGGAGGTGGGAGGTGAGGCGGGAGGTGGGAGATGGGAAGTGGGGTAGGAGGTGGGAGTTGGGAAGCAGGAGTAGGTAGAGGTGGGAGGTGCGAGGTCGCTGGGAGGTGGGAAATCTGAGGATCGCCGTAGATCGCAGGAAATCGAATCGATAGATCGATGTCGCTTGAATCGATTCGGTCATGGCATGATTAAAACATTAAGGAGCGGCAGCCAAGAAACGGACAGTGCAAGGTCCACCACAGAAAATCTAAAAAAATCAAGCTTACGCAGGTATAGCCGGTACAGTATAGTGGCTTATGCACCCTCTTCTAGCTTTGGCAAGCTGTCGCTCCCGACTCTGATCCCTTGCAGAAGCCCACTTTCAAGTTGTGAGGAAGTTTCATGCTGCAGAGTTGGGTGTCTTCTCCGTCGTCTCTAATGATTCAAGCCCATGCCCTTTCCCGGCTTCTTCTTCGTCTTCTGCGGGCTCAACCTGCCCCCATGGGCAGGTCAGGGCACTGCCCTGAGCCCGAACTTGTCCGTGGCATCCCGTCGGAAATGGCGGATACACAGACTCCACAAACTGAGCACCATCCAAGAACCACATTGATGCACCAAAGTCTGGCTTGTGGAGCCCTATCCTCAAGCTGGCTGTGAAACTTAGGTCCCATTCTTTTCTAGGTGTTTCTGATGTTGTTTGAATCCTTGGCCCGCGGGCTAGCCACCCTCTCCCGACTCTCGCTCTTTCTCTGTCTTCTTCTTTTATGCGATCCTCCAATTTGGAGCACAAGGGCCATGCCCCGAGCCCGCGCGCATGTGCGATCTGGTTCCTACGATCGCCCGGATACCGCATGGCCTAGCGCCAGATGACCAAAGCCCTCGACACATTGCAAGTTTTCATCCAGAGCCCATGGCCAGATCGTTGCTGCCACAATCAATCAGTGGATTGACAGTAACTACCAACTCGGGGGGTAGCAGAGTTCCTTGTGGTTGAACTTCCCGTTTTTGCGGTCCATGGCTATTGCGAAGGGATGTGAAGACATTTCACACATGAAGTCCACATTGTTGGCGAGCAAAGGTTCAGCCACCAAAAGCAATTTAAAAAATCTGAACGAGCAGAGCAGCAGCAACAGCAGCACCAGCACCACCACTACTACCGGAACCAGCCTTGCGAGGGCCTTTTTTTCCTGCTGCGGCTGCGTGCTTGCTAGGATAGAACGGCAAATCAGGCCTAAGCTTTTGACTTTGAGATGAGTGCTGTTGCTGTTGGCGATTACGATGAATTACGATGATGATGGCGATAAAGATGAGGAGGAGAAGGATGAAGAAGAAGATGATGATGATGCTGCTGAGGGGTTAGCGTTGCTAATCCGTGACCGAAGCGCTCGCTCATGTTCAGCATTAGCCACCTGATATTTGGTCATGGTACCAGTAGCCTTTGGAGGCAAAATCTGCCTATCCCTGGAGCTGCTACACAATTTTGAGGTGCACTGCCCCAACTCCTAGTCCAAGCCTAGAGGTACGTTAGGTGGGCTGCCGGCCACCCTTCATTCGCTGCTGCAGGCCGCCGCCGCCGCCGCTAACAGGATCAGCACCATCACCACCACCAAGAACAACAGCAGCAGCCGCAACAGCAACACGCAGTGGTTCTTCACAAACACACAAACTTTTACTGAATGCTCTGGACCGAGTCTCCACAATTGAGACGAAGTCTGATGTGCTGAGCGCCAGAATTATCGCAAGCCTCTGCCAACTGTAGCAGGAAGGCTATAACATGCTAGCATCTTGCATCTTGGCCAAGGCGAGGACCCTGTTCCCAAGCCAACGTAGGGAGTGTTGTGGCCTCATCTGCACTCGCTGCCCTGCGCTAGAAATGTCCCATTATGCACCAGACCCAGAACCACAAAACTGGCAGCACGTTTTCCTCACTGGCAATCAGTGTTCGGCTCCCAGGAGCACTCGCTTCATGCGATTTTTCAGTCCTGGTCGGGATTACGTGCGCTGCAACGGTATTCTATAAGTATTGTACTGCGGCCTCTTCAATTTAAGCGTTTTAAAAACCGTCTTCGGCACGCGGGCAAGGGCTGCTTCTTCTCACAGCTGCACGCACCCCTCGCGAGGTGTGCTGCGGCAAAGCCGCAAGCTGGGTCCAGCCCGGTCAGGTCGGTGTGAGAACAGAAGACAGCACTGCACCACATAAGGAAGCAACCCTACAGCCATTAACCCACAGCAGACACCCGAAGTCACCCTTACATAAAGTTGGTGCTACGGCCTGTCTTCAAAACTCCTCTCTGCCTCTCTTCTTCTTGTATGCGCTAGCTATACGCAATCCAAGGATTGCATCCGCCCCGAGCAGGTCAGGTCCCGGTCTGAAACAGAAGGTGCGGAGCTTGCCTTCAGAAGGATACTTATGGTGAGCTCTCTCTCCCTCTCTGTCGCTCTGTCTGTCCTGCCACCCCGTCAGGCATCTTCAGCAGCATGTCCTTCAGTTCGAAATAGTGGCTTGCGAACTACAGCCAGAACATGTTTTATTTTGTCCCACCTTGGCATTGGCTTCAGTTGCGAGAGATTGAATCAAAGTGAACACCTCTTCCTTGTCTTCTATGCCTCAGTACAAGCTCTGCACCTCTGCCGTTTGTTGCAGCTGCTTGTTGTTAGGCTGATGTGTAAACAACGACTTGTAGCTGCAGAACGCGTTCATTCTCTGCGTAGCATGATGGGAAGCGTCCCCAACAAAACAAGGCTCGATTCGGATGCTCGAGGCTGCAGGCTGACAGCTTGAGCCTGGTTTGTAGGTTACGGATGCTCCATGATGCCTTGTTTCTGTCGAGTTGGCTGCGAGGATGTTGGATCCAAAGCTTTTGAGGATTTGACGAAATTTTCTCTGCTCTTCTGAGTAAGCTTTGTGGAACACAAGGATGCAATCGCACCATGCGTGCACCAGCAGGCCAGTTGACATCACATTGAATGCACCAAACAGTCGTCACAGTAATGTATGCGGTGTTAGAGCAATAGCCACGTGCAAAGGAATAAGCGCGCGGCTTAGCTTGCCATCGTCTTGCCACATGTGCAGCGGCAGCAGCGTGCTCTCCAAAGCATCGAGGTTAGAAGCAGCCTCCTTATTTCACAGCGTCTTCAAACAAGGCAGCCTTGCAGTGTCTGGAAGCCGTGGTGCTGCAAGCAAAGGCAAAATCGCACCTGGAGATCCAGCAAGAAAAGTGTCAACACTGCACCAAGGCAGAGTCCAGGTCATGCAAATCAACCAAGGAGAGGCCTTGCTCGTCCTCCAATGCCGTGCCCAACTGCTTCATCCTAATTTAGCAGGTGAGGGTGCGGCAACATCTCGATGATCCGGCACGTTGCAGCCCAGGCGTCAAAGCCAGTCGCGGCAAGGTTCTCATTTGCCAAAGGGACAATAGAAGCTGCATTCGCGTGAAAAAAACCTGCGCAGGACAGCATGCGAAATCTTAATGCAGCCCTTGATATCCCTTAATATTGACGTCAAGTTCTTGCAGTCCCTGAAGCTCGGAGCCTGCAACATCCGGCGCCGATCTTCCACTTGCTGAGCAGCAGCCTTTGTTTGTGCAACTCGTCTTGGAGCGAGCTTGCTCCAACTTGATCAACTGCTTAACTATCGTCGTTCTTCAGCAGATGGAACCTGAGGCGCCCACCTGCATTTCCAGGATCTGCTCTTCCAGTCGCTGCAGAGTGTCAATGTCCAAGAAATCGTATAAAACGAAAGCCACGCAACAACCTGTTACCGCAATTGAGGCGATGACGACCTGAATGGCAGAATTGGTGCAACATGTCAAGTTTGCTGGGAGAAGGTCCATTTCAAACATTTTCAAACTTTGACATTGTCTTGCTGAGCACCCCGCATGCGAAGGGTTGCCTTGGAAGGGGGCTTGAACTCGTTCATTCTTAATTTCTGGAAGTCCGGCGAGTTTCATGCGGGAGCACTGCAATCACCCAGACAAGCTTCTTATGGCGAAGGTGTTGAGCACAAGCAGGCCAACACCGGCAAAAAGGCTGAGCATGTATGAGAGATGCTCTGGCGAGAGGATGATGCAAATGAACACCATACCTGGGAGCAACGCATATTATCTGCGCCACCTTTATTTCTATGGCAAATCTTGCTCGTGGAAGGGTGGACGCAGGTTGGGAAAATGCTTCCAACATGTGCAATACAACTGTCGACAACTTAGCATCCTCCTGTCCACGTCATCCTCATCTATTACAATTTCTGGAGGCCAAGTACACAAACCTGCCATGTGTGACGCGCTCTTGCGGCGTCGCGGTGGCTGACAAGAACCGGAATTCTAGCTATAGCAGCTCACCAACCCCCGTAAAAAAGGAGTTGCGTCCTGCAGCTATCTAGAGCCTGCACAAACCTTTCAGATGTCAGCCCGGTGTCAGCGGATGCGCAGCGGATAGCTGCCATCGTTCGAGTCGAAGCCGCATCCAGCTCCAAATCTCGCACTGCTTTGCTTGTGTTCGAACTGCAACATCCGACACACCCATGCCTACGGCATTGGCAAATGCAATCCGAGAGTCCCAAACTTGAACCACCACAACTCCGTTGGTGTAGGCTCGGTGCGTTGAGGAAGTTCACAACTGACCTCCAAGTGTTGTCCGTGATTCTAGCTCCATGCCCTTTCCATTGTGACGAGGGTTAGCGTGGTGACTTCCAAGTTGCTGCACATATACATGTATATGTCTATATGGATAGGAACTGTGCGGTTCCACCACCGCCCGTCCTGAAGCAAGCCGCTAGCCCGACAAAGGAGCCCACGACCCGATCTACTAGTGAGAGCGGCACTTCCAAAAATGGGCAGCCCATTGCAGGCGGCACGTCAGATCAGTCAGTCACTTTCCTCATGGCCCGTCTAGTGTGGATTTCATAATCTAGCCCCTGGTCTAATCCGTAATTGCATGCCAAATCCCAGTGTCTACCAAAGCCCACGCATGGACCAACGTGAAGGCGATGGCAGCGATAGTGCAGCGATTGATTGCGAGCACTGAACTTTCATGAACCTCTCGCTACAACGGAACGCCGTGATTCAACGTAACCGTTCACGGTGGGAACACTTGCAAGGTGAATGGCTTCGCCCAAAGCTCTTTGAAGCAAGGCCCGCCGGAGTAACAGCTTCAAAGCATTTCAAAGCTTTGCGCTTCAAAGCCGCAGCTCTTCTGAACCTCGCTAAGCCGCAATTAAATGGTCAAGCTGCGCTGCCTTGCAAGGGCGCGTGTGACTCCACCCTTGCTCAAAGAACAGCCTGCGCTTTCGGCAATTGGTGTTTCCGGCATGAGCTATCTTCTGTCTGCTCTGTTGAGACAGTTGTGACTCGGCTAAACGGGGCGCAAACCGAAGACACGGCACTGATGTTAGTAAACAAGCTGCGCTGGCCTCGGCTTTTGGCAGCTTGCCCTCCTCTTCATCTGGCTGCGTCTTGACGAAGCCTTGCCGATCTGCTGCTAATATAGCGATTGTGTGATCAAGGAACGGCATTGTGCGAGCTTATGCTCCCTTTAGTATAGGGATCCGCAATAATGATTTTTTTCGGTAAAATTATTCAGGATCTACTATTGTTTGAGGGGTCCGGAATACTACAAATCTCTGGGGCCCAAAATACTAAAACAGAGCAAGAGTTATTGACTAAATGAGTTTAGTTTTGCCTAAGAAAAACTCAGCAGAAACAGCTTACAGGCTCTGTCTCACTCAGCTCCTGCTTCAAACCAGACTCAACACTTTCCCTCAAGGTTACTTAGACAGATTCTGGGGGCCCATATGATTTTTAATTGCTGGGCAAATTTAGGGGGTAGCTGAATGGTAGAGAGAAACGTCTGTTTGGGGGGGACCACCTCTTATTAAAGGGAGTCCAACATTAGCTTTGACCGATCATGCGGAAGTGAAAAGGATGCAATGCACATGCATGTTGCAGATGCGCGCATGTTCAATTGCAATCAAAAAGCGTTGCAGGCCAGTCCATTTCAGCGCTTTGCGCTGTAGAACCGTCATTTTCTTCCATGCGGTCTTCAACGACACCACCCCCTGCCAGGATCTGCTAGCAGCATGCGCTTGGGAAAAGAGAAATGCGGAAGTGCATGCCTCAATCTACAGAGTGCCCAAGATCTGTTGCATCTGCTTTGGGTTCACTGTGCAATGCCACCGCCGCCTTCTTGCCCTCTTCCGTGCGATCTCTGATAAAGCGTACCTCTCTCGCCTCAACGACTCTAGTCGAATCAAACAACGCAAGGCGGGCACTTAAAAGGATAAGCTGACCTTAGCATTGCTGTTTACGAAGATTTTGAGCTGGGGTGCCTTCAGTCGATCACCCACTCGTGTCGCCAGCTCGCAGGCCGTCTCGCAAGAGTTGAACTCAACCTTCTGTGCAAATTCGTACTTGCGCGAGCAATGACCCTGCTGGGGCTTCGGGTCAAAATGGCCCACAGAGGGGATACAGACTTCACTGTCGCAGGAATACTTTCATCAAAACTAGCTGCACTAGCCTTCAATGTTGAAAAGAACTGCGCAGGTCCTAAAGTCAGCCGCCATGCCCTGTTCCTAGGCCTCGCCGATCACGCTGTATGGCTGCCTCACGGGGTCCTTGTTCAAATGAAGAAGTTGAGTTTGTTCAAGGCTAGGAGAGGGCACGCTCATGCGCACACCACGACGCTTGATCATGATGTAATCTGCATCTTTAACAGTTGTTTCTGAAGAGCTCTGGCCTTTGCCCTGGCTGTGCTTCCTAGTCCTACTGGTAGTTTCTGCCGTGTCGTTTGCCGACGCCTCCTCTGACTCCCTGCAGCCAAGTGGCTGCAGCACACTCCGCCAGCATCTGAAGCCAGATCAAAAGGAAGTGGCGGAAGTGCTTCAGAAAAGGCGGACTCTGCCTCGGCCGCTCGTGCCGCAAATTTTGATGGCAAGCAATGAATGTGACAAGCAGGGTGTGCCGGACGCAATCTGCAATGCAGTGCTACATTTGATGTTGCCTGATGACCAAATCTGTTGTACTTGCATTGGCTGCCTCATACCAAAGGGTTGCCCACACCCAAATATCATCCGCATGATAACACATGTAGCTTCGTCTCAGCGTCTCCTTCTCGAGCTTTGGTGATATGTTTTTCAAAAATCTGCAGAGATCTCTGCGTTCCTTGGCTGTGGAATGCCCGACTCTCAGACCATCTTGAAGCTTAAATGATCTTAGCAAATTGCTGCCCTCACAATGGTTTTGTTGTTGGTTCCTAGCACGGAGGAGAAAATCACGATCAGATCTAATATGTGTGACTGCACCTTTTGATACTCATGAGCAAGTTGCCGCGTCAAGACTGCGCTCTGCAAGGCCAATCTCGGTGTCCGCGGATCGCGCAAGGAGCTCCTGCAGCGAAGCACAAAAGACTCTGATGATGGTTCGGCTCACGTTGGTGGGACCATGCAAGGAGCCCGTGCCTCCAACTCATTGGCCAGCAGCTGGAAGCGCCTGCAAGTATTCAGGGCTGCATGCGAGTTGTCCTCGCTCTGTGGTGACGACCTTCATTCTGCCCATCAGTCTGACCAACAGGATTAGAATTTCACTGCGCAAGACCGGTCACAGGCCGCAAGCGCCTGGAAAACTGGAGATTGCACATGATAGGGCAATCCCATGCGAATTTACAAAAAAAAAAAAAAAAAAAA